AAAAAAAAAAAAAAAAAAAATAGAAATACTACAATAAATAAGGGTATTAGTGTTCCAGGAAAAGGTGAAGATAGCTTGATAGAAGGGGACATAAAGAAGGGTTGAAGCTGCTCAGTTATAGGCACAGAAGGATGTCATTGGTAGATAAATGTAGCAATGCCAGGGATAGGGGGTTCTAGTTTATTGCGCTTGTTTGTTTCTTTTGTACAAACATTGAGAGAAGCCACACAATAAAAACACTTGCAGAAAAGTCTGTTGCCAGTCTTTTATGAGCCAAGAGGAAGACTGTGGGTGAAAGTACATTTTCAACAGAACTACATTGCTTATGTCTTTCTTCATTTAGTTTGTGTTAGTGTACGCTTCTTCAGCTGCTAGTTTGTTTGCAAAATATTTATGTGCTTTAAAAGTCATGTGTTAACCAATACAACTTCCATATTCTGGTATCATTCTTGTATTCATCAATGATACAAGAACTATTTAACTCTACAGAAACACATAGGATACAAAACGTACTATATACCTTTATAAATTTTCCTTGAGAGAGAATATGGAGTGAAAAACAAACAGCCTTGGGTAGTTCTGAGGAACTGCAGTAAAGTAGTAGTTAAAAACTGTCAGCTTTTGGCCCACATTGATTCTTTGTGATGATCTCTACACTTTTTAAAAATTGCTCAAGCTAAAAGATCTAGAAATTTCACATAAAATGTGGAATTCTGCTCTTAGAAATATTAGAACATTTAGCAACAATTAGTCCACATTTCCTGGATAATAGTAATGGCTGGGGCTCAGTATTGGCATGCCCCTTTTCATTGCTGCTTGTATTCTTTTGTTTGACACAATCCTCACGGTTTTCTGTTACGTGTTGTATGTGGCCCTCTTCAGCTATTTAAACAGGGAACATTTGAATTCGAGATCTCTAATTTAAGAGTTATGAGAAGGAGCTTATAAAGGATGAGGAAATTGAGGTGAAGGTGATACGAGATTACAGGTCAGGTTGTTGAATGTATCATCTTTTTAAAATTTTTATTTATTTATTTATTTTGAGATGGAGTCTCACTCTGTTGCTCAGGCTAGTGTGCAGTGGCACAATCTTGGCTCACTGCAACCTCTGCCTCCTGGGTTCAAACAATTCTCCTGCCTCAGCCTCCCTGGTAGCTGGGATTACAGGCGTGCACCACCACATCCGGCCAATTTTTTTTTTTTTTTTTTTTTTTTTTTTAGTAGAGACAGGGTTTCACAATGTCGATGAGGCTGTTCTCAAACTCCTAACCTCATGATCCCCCCATCTTGATCTCCCAAAGTGCTGGAATTACAGGCGTGAGCCACTGCTCCTGGCCATTGAATGTATCATCTACATGGACATTGAAATTACCCAAGAGAACAATTACAGGAGTTGGGGTGAAAATGATGTATGTGAACCTGGTTTCATGGTCCTTGGGGAATGAGAAAGATAGCAGGGAAGTCTAATATATGCAAAAGTATCTGTGTTAAATAAGAACTTCCCTCCTTCCCTCCCTTTATTCTTTCCTTCTTTTTCTTCTTTCTTTCTTTCTTTCTTTCTTTCTTTCTTTCTTTCTTTTCTTTCTTTCTTTTCTTTCTTTCTTTCTTTTCTTTCTTTCTTTGTCTCTCTCTGTTGCCCAGGCTAGTTCAGTGATGTGATCTTGGCTCACTGCAAAACCTGCCTTCTGGGTTCAAGCAATTCTCCTGCCTCAGCCTCCCAAGTAGCTGGAATCGCAAAAGTGCACCACCGCACCTGACTAATTTTAGTATTTTTAGTAGAGATGGGGTTTCACTATATTGGCCAGACTAGTCTCGAACTCCTGACTTTAAGAGAACCACCTGCCTCAGCCTCCCAAAGCACTGGGATTACAGGCGTGAGCCACCACACGTGGCCTTTTTTTTTTTCTTTGTAAAATAACTGCAGAAACCGCTAAGACCTCTCTGAAGTCACTATTCTGACACTAGTTCTCTATCACCAATTGGATGTTGTACAATTTAGTTCAATTCTGAATACAGACTACCTGAAGCTAGTGAAGACCTCACTTTAAGAGCAAAGTCCATCATGAGACTACCCTCCACTTCAGATGCCAGTCACAAATTTTGGTGTTCCCAAGACATCCATACTTCTGCCTGGCTTGCTAAAAATTTGCCATTTCCAAAACCTCCTCAGTTTTGGTCACTTGTTAAAAGAACTCACAGAACTTGTGAAAGCACTATAGTATGGGTACAGTTTTGTTACAAAGGAAAGAGATCAAGAACAACTAATTGAAGAGATACATAGATAGAACAGCATTTGGTGCAAGAAGGATCCACAGACTTCCATACCCTTCCCCTTATAGAATCTGGGTACATTACCCTCCCAGCACATCACTGTGTTCAAACCCAGAAGCTCCGCTTAACCTCAGTGTCCAGAGATTTTATTGGGGCTCTGTTATGTGGTCATGATTGATGAAGTCATTGACCATGTTTTTGAACTTAATCTTTAGTGCTCCTCCACTCCCAGGAGGTTGGGGTGACCCAAAGTTTCAGACCTCTAGTTATGTGGTTTGGTCTTTCTAGTCACCAGCCTCCCTTTTGAAGTTACCTCAGAAGTCATCTCGCTGCCATAACAAAGACATTCTTTTTTTTTTTTTGAGATGCAGTCTTGCTCTGTCACTCAGGCTGGAGTGCAGTGGCGTGATCTTGGCTCACTGCAACCTCCGCCTCCGAGGTTCAAACAATTATCCTGCCTCAGCCTCCTGAGTAGCTGGGATTTCAGGCGCCTGCCAACATGTCTAGCTAATTTTTGTATTTATAGTAGAGACGAGGTTTCACCATGTTGATCAGGATGGTCTTGAACTCCCGACCACATGATCGCCTGCCTTGGCCTCCCAAAGTGCTGGGATTACAGGCATGAGCCACCAAGCCCATCCCATTACAAAGGTTTTTGAAGCTCTGTGCTAGGAACCAGGGACAAAGACCAGCTATATTCTTTATTATATTGTAAGTCTAAATTCTTTTGTTAATTGATTTCTATCTTGGAATCTCTCCATCTTCTTCACAATTACTCTTGATAAGTAGATGGACATGTGACTTGATTTTCTAACAGAAACTTAATATACTTTTTTCAGGTAGATGTGAAAATAGGTTTAGCTGTCTTAATAAAAACCAATGGAGGAAAAATTTTTAGTTAAGCAAAATACTAGATAAAAATATTAGTTCAGGCTCATATATCTTTTGTTTTGATCACTTTGAAAGTCAGAACTGGTTTTGTTTAGAAGTATCTTACGTATTTGATTTTTGTTTTTAAGTATTCTCTTATGATGGTAGCTGTTCTTTTAGTAAACAATTATTTTGTGCCTATTGTGTGCCAGGTGAAGGAACATGCTGTAATTCCAGCACTTTAGGAGGCCGAGGTGGGTGGGTCATTTGAAGTCAGTAGTTCAAGATCAACCTATCCCAACATGATGAAACCCTGCCTCTAGTAAAAATACAAAAATTAGCCAGGCGTGGTGGCACGTGTCTGTAGTCCTACCTACTCAGGAGGCCGAGGCACAAGAGTCACTTGAACCCTGGAGGCAGAGGTTGTAGTGAGCCAAGATCGAGCCACTGCACTCCAGCCTGGGTGACAGAGCAACACTCTGTCTCAGAAAAAAAAAAAAGAAAGAAAAAGAAATTTTCTGCCTTAAAGTCAATTTATAGTTTAGACATGTATACCAATAGTGACAGTTCTTAATATTGACATATTCACAAGGCATTTCGGGGAGTAGAGAAGTGAGGGACTCACTTGAAAGGGCTTGGGAAGCAGGAAGGAGTTTTGAATTTAGCATGCAAAGAATAAGATGTGATAACTGTTTCTTACGTAGAAATCAGCTTTGCAAGGGCTTGGGGATGTGTTGCTGTGCTTAGTTAAGATTAATGGTTTGGGGCCGGGCGCGGTCGCTCAAGCCTGTAATCCCAGCACTTTGGGAGGCCGAGGCGGGTAGATCACGAGGTCAAGAGATCGAGACCATCCTGGTCAACACGGTGAAACCCCGTCTCTACTAAAACTACAAAAAATTAGCTGGGCATGGTAGCGCGTGCCTGTAATCCCAGCTACTCAGGAGGCTGAGGCAGGAGAATTGCCTGAACCCAGGAGGCAGAGGTTGCGGTGAGCCGAGATCGTGCCATTGCACTCCAGCCTGGGTATCAAGAGCGAAACTCCGTCTCAAAAAAAAAAGAAAAAAGAAAAAAAAGATTAATGGTTTGATATGGGACCTAAGAGATGGAACTGGAAAGATAGGCAGATCATAAAGCCCTGTTTATATTAGACTCTCAAGAGTGTGGAGTTTATAAGGAATGAGAAGTTAAGGGTTTTAAGATGGGAAATAATTTGTTGAGATTACATTGACAGCAATGTGATAGATGGATTAGAAAAAGGAGATCAGGTGGCTGGGCACGGTGGCTCACACCTGTAATCCCAGCACTTTGGGAGGCCGAGGCGGGTGGATCACTTGAGGTCAGGAGTTCGAGACCAGCCTGGCCAACACAGTGAAACCCCATCTCTAAAAAAAAAGAAAAAAAGAAAAAGGAGAGCAGGTAGATCAGTTTGGAAACTGCTCCCACAAAATATTAGGAGGTTCTGATCCAAGGTAGCGATGATATGATTAAGTGAAATGGGGTGTGCAAAAGGCTAAGGTTGGAAATAGATAATAGATTTGGATTTCAAGCCTGTTTTGTGGGACAGATGGATCTGTAGTGCAAAGGAGACGTCAAACCTGAAGATAATTATAGATATGTGATTATTAAGGCTGTGAGAAGGGATGACAGTATTTATGTTGAATAGTATTTATGGTGAATACAGTGGGTTTATCAAAACAGAGGTCAAACCTAAAGATAATTTTAGATACATGATTATTAAGGCTATGAGAAGGAATGACAGTATTTATGGCGAATATGGTGGGTTTTTTAAGTGAGTTTATACTCAAGAGTGTCAAGTGTTATGTGAGATTGGTTAGGTAAGTACTGAAAGTAGATAATTGGCTTTGGCAGTTAGGTTGTCTTGTGTCTGAAAGCCATTATTTGTATAGTGGCAAATGCTAGATTTCTGGAGGCTGAGGAATGGAAGTTAGGAAATGCAAACAATTAAAATTCTTATACCTTTACAATTTGCTTTTTTTTCTTCAGTGTTTTCTTTTGTAGCACTTCTGACTGGTTTATTATTTGCTTTTTCCTTATAATGACATTCTGTTATTCTATAGCATTCTGTTGAAGATGTAATTAAATTTTCTCAATCTGTGATGTCAGGTTGCTTTTTGAAGTATAAAGGTTTAAGAAATGCATAACTACATGGGATTTTTAATTGATCTTCTCAATCTTCAGTTGATGTTTTTCCATATATAAATTGAAGATAGATTCATTTTACATTTGGTATCATGTTAAAATGTTCCAAAAACCACCTACTGTATAATAGGTATTATAATATTGTTGATCACCTTCAGGGTATTATTATCCTGAAATGTCTCCCAGTGGTCAAAGCTGAGACAGTTTGAGCAACAAAATAAATATGAGAGTACTGGATTATAATTAAAAAATAAAGTCAATATCTAGGAATCCATGTTGATATAAATAAATGATTGACTAAACAAAGACTTGGCAGGAAAGGAGCAAAGTTTTCTTACAGAAAAATTTCAAAGAACCTACGCAGATCACCCCTTTCAGGAGGTAGAACTTAATTTCCCTCTTCTTGAATATGGGCTGGACTGACTGACTTAAAAGAACAGAGTATGAAGAGGGAAAAACAGTAACTTTACAGTGTAAAGGCCTGACAGACAGCACCTTAACCAAGTTCAAGGTTAACTTCACCAATGATAAGGCATGGTGATATCACGTACTCTCTGATAGAATGTGTTAAGTCTAACCAGAAAAAATAAATAAAAAGTAATAAAGGACATTCTACAAATACCTGACCAGTGCTAAAAAGTATCATGTTATCACCTGAAAAAACAAGGAAAGTCTGAGAAACCACAAAACAGAGAAGACTAAGGAGACATAACTAAATACAATGTGATAGCCCAGACTGACACTGGAAGGACATGAGTGGAAAAAAATTGGCGAAATCTAAACAAAGTCTGGAATTTTGTTAATAGTATTATTCCAATGTCGATTTCTTGGTTGTGACAAATGTACCGTAGTTATGTAAGATGTTAACATTGGGGGATATTGGGTAAAGGATATATGAGAATTTTTGGTACTATCTTTGTAACTTTCATGTAAACCTAAAATTATTCCAGAATAAAGAGGTTTTTTTAATAAAGCAGAATACAAATTGTTAAGTAAATCATATCTCAAACTGATAATTGTTGAAGGAAAAAATAAAGATTATTTACTATTTGTATTGAGTGGATTCATCGTAAGTGTTGGTTGGGGGTAAAACAGGCATATTTGATAAATCATGTTGAGATAAATTTCAGGAAAAATAAATGAAATCGGATTAGAGACACTAGCATGTGTAGCCTCTAGCAAGATATTTAACCTTTCTTGTTTCAAAAATGGGGAATCAAACTGACTTATCACTTTGAGCATTTTTAAAGTAAACTAGTATATTCACTGTAAAACTAAATCTTATGAAGCCTTAAAAGGAATAACAATTCGAATCGTTTTTATAAATTAGGTACATGTGGTAGTTAGCTTATTTTTCTAACATATACTGTTCTGTACTGTTATAGGCTAACAGCTATAAAGTCAGCTTGATGTAAGTGAAATTATAGTAAAATTGTACACTTAAATAAGGCCAGGTTTCCTGGTTATCAGTCCTGATAGTGATTCTATTTAATTTATGTATGTATGTTAAGTAGACATGAAATGGGCCTTAGGAGCAAGAGTTTCTGACCTGGAATGCCAGTTATTCCATCCCTATTTTTCAGCATATATGACTCATGGCTGGCTACACATGGCAGGACTTAGCACCTGAATTCTAAAACTGGCAGAGCAGTAGAATAGAGTATTTTCATTTAGCATTTATAGCTTTCAAGTCATAGAATAAGCAAACAATGGGACATTATTGTAAATGATTTACTGCATATAAGTTATATATATTCTTTGATGCATTCGGTGATGATGAATATTTTGTCCTCAAAGAATAAGTGAGGGTTAAATATATATGTATATATTTTTGGAAAAAGAATATTCACTGTAAAAGCGTATAGGTTGGAGCAAAGAATACTGAGTTTTGTTTTCTCTTTAACTGAAGGGTATAAGCATTGTTCAGAATATACTAATTTCAAGCAATTTCCCTAGTGCTGTGTATAAGACAGACCCATGCAACTGTTAGAAGGAATAAGTTCAAATGTTCAATAGCACGGTGGGGTTACTATAGGTGACAGTACTATATTTTGTATTTCAAAAATTGCTAGATGAGAGGACTTGAAATGTTCCTGACACATAGGAATCATAAATATGCAAGGTGATGGATACGGAAATACTCTGACTTGATCCTTTTTTTGTTTGTTTGTTTTTGTTTATGTCTGACTTGATGCTTATACATTCTATGCATGTAACAAAATATCACATGTACCCCATAAATATATACTATTATTATGTATCAATTTTAAAAAGAAATTTAAAACATAGAAAAAAGGTCTGTCTATAAATGAAGTGTGAACATATAGAGATGAAAGGGGAAAATTGATTGTGGATGTGGTTAGTACAGCTTATGGGAATTTCCAGAAGAATTCCATTTCAGTGAATGATGTGATTTGGGCATTATGAAAAATAGCGTAATTAGAGAGAGAAAAACAGACTTTTTAGCTTCAAAATCGCCAGCACAGGCTCTGAGTCATGCTCTCTTATAGTGCATCTAGTGGCGTGTCAGATAAAATGTATTGCTTTCTGTGAATGTATTTCCCACAATTGAAAACAGCTGTTTTTATTGTAGACCTAGCATTTATCTTAGCATTCAGCTCCTTCACAAGAAGGTTCCAAAGCGGCTATGTACTGTGAAGTATACCAAAGGAATCAGAACTTGAATCTGGGAGCTCAAACTTGATCAGAAGTTCTTGAATAATTTGGTATATTATGTTCGTATTCTTTTACTATGATAGCCATTTTTATTACAACCAATTTTTGTTCAGTCATTGTTTAACGCACATTCCCAAATAGCTTTGACTTATGAATAATGAAAGACAAAGAATCTTTTTTAAAACTAAACTTTCGTAACATGATTTAATTTTGGTGGGAAGGAACAATTTTAATGTTAGAAAACTTTTAAAACATATTATTTTAAAATCAATAATACATTAGAACTGACTACATAGCATTCTTCCAGACTTGCATACTTAATCTATTTTTCCATAATTCACCCAAAGATATTTCTGGCATTGCAGACATCACATATTCCACTCATATAAATGATTTCTTCGTTACTTGTGTTTTTAGTGTTGATCTTCAAACAGAGTGTGACCAAAATTCATGCTACATTAAGTTATAACAGCTTTAATAGTGAACTTAAGATAAATATATGTTTTGTCCAACCAACTATTGATTTAATTCACTATATTTTTTGCTGATTTGTATTTGGCACTAGGGAAATTCCTTGTTTTTCTAGGCTAGGATGCTCAGGGCTTCAATTAGTACTTAGTTGAATCTTCATTCCCATGATTCTTTGGGATGCCTCCACCACTATAGACACATTATCAGTGGGAATTTTCTCTATTCTGATATCTTTGCCTGTTTTACTCTGTTTTCACACCCAGGCATCTGTAAAAGTAGCATTTCTTTTTTTTTTATCTTTGATTTGTTTTAGTTCCTGCAATGGAAATGTCAATCAAGATTTTTTTGGAAAGTCAATTTGAGAATAGATTCTTGGTTTCTGCTCATTTTGTGTTTATTATAAAGATTTTCATAATCTTATTTCTTTATGATCCAGTTGTGTTCTTTTTTTTCTTTTCAACTTTCTGACAATTTGTATCCCTGATTTCATCTTAAGGTTTTGCGTAAAAGTACTACCTTTCCCCTTTTGTTTAAACTGACAAAAATGTTTCTCTGAATACTGTCTTTATAAGTTCATCAAATACTGGCCAAATAATATCCAGAGAGTCTATAATTAAAACCACTTCCAAGGTTCCTTCACATTTGCAAGTTTGGTTTTAATTCTTAATTCCGTTTGTATTATTCCAGTTTATGATATTCTCTCTTTCTGTGTTTTTTCTTACCAATAGTCTGCCTTGTTTAGATGAGGGCCTTTATTTCCAGCTGAAGAAAAAATATTTCCCTTATTCAACTTAAATTTCTCCTGAAATCCAATTTTATTTAGATATATATATTTTTTGCAGCTTGCCTGTAATTTCTACTTCCTGCGTTTAATGTGTGTAGAATTTCTAAACCTATTTCTGAAACTGTCATCATCTGAGTGATGAGACACACACTAGTCGTTTACCCAGTAATATTGTGAACTGAGAAATTCCTATTTGTAGTCTTTATTCACTTCTGAAGTACTTATCCTGCTTTATAGTCTTTTGAAATGAAAAATGATGGGAACTCTTTGATATCTAAAATTGTGTTCTTTGTGTATATGCTTTGAGGAAGTGCCAGATTTTATTGAACTAGAATTCATATAAACCTCTTGTTCTTTGTGGAGTGGGGAGCCTCCACACATCCTTCCAGGCAAATCTAAAATGGCCACTCTTGAGACATGAGCAAACGTTTATCACATGATAGAGACAGCAACAAAAAGAGCTAAGTAGGGGAAGCAGAAAACTACTTTTTCCTTGTAAGCAGAAAGCCAGACATCTTCTGGTTCTGACTCATCTCTTGGTCATACTCTGGAAAAGCTGTGGCAAAGAGTTGGTGGATTAGAAGATTCAGAGTAACTTTTTGCTACCCTGCAAGTGCCTATCGGCCCTGGAAGTGCCTATATGAGTAGTAGTACTTAATTGGATTCACTCTACGTTTAAGGTAAATGCTTGATGTTATAGGCTAGTTCTAGCTCCCTACTGGGTATAACTCACTGCTCTTCTTCTGTTTATTATTATTATTATTACTATTATTACTATTATTATTATTTTGAGGCAAGGGTCTCACTGTTGCCCAGGATGGAGTGCAGGTACAATCACAGCTCACTAAAGGCTTTACCTCCTAGGCTCAAGTGATCTTCCCACATTAGCCTCCCAAGTAACTGGGACAACAGGCATGCGCCACCATGCCCAGCTAACTTTTGTATTTTTTTTTGTAGAGACTGAGTTTTGCCATGCTGCCCAGGCTGGTCTCAAACTTCTGAAGTCAAGCAACCCAGCCACATCCGCCTAGCAAAGTTCTGGGATTACAGGCATGAGCCCCCGCACCTGCCTATCTAAAAATTCCATGATAAACTTAAGGAGTCAATTTATATATAATAGTCACTAATATTTATAAAACATTTTAAATTTTATAAAGTTATTTTTGTATTATCTCATTTTGGGACTCACAATAATGCTGTGACTTAGCTTTATTAAACCAAACTCCAGGCACATTTACTTCTGTAGATTCCCTCTAGTTTAATTTGTACCAGAGCCAGGAGTCAAACCCAGAATGCTCCATAGTCCATGTTCTGAACACCATATCACACTCAACTTTGCATTATGTTTTAGATTTGGACACATAAATATATATTGGTCTCTGTTGAAGTGGACATACTAGTTCTCTGAGCATTATCTGGTTCTTCTTGGAAGCCTAACTGCAAATTGGCACTTATAAAACAGTATGTTTCTGGCAGTGTTACAGCTAACGTTTGCAGATTTCATATGATTCCTACCGTTAGGCTGATTTTAACATACTTCGAGCATCTTTAACTGGTTGCTATTTCTTGTACATAAGTGATAGCATCACTTACCAGTCTTAACCTTGGTTGCTTTATGTCATTAAGTAATGTTTTTACAGGCATCCTCATCTTCTTACTGCATCTGTGCACACTGTTTTTAAATGAAATAAGTTGCTAGAGCTGATGATTACCAAGCTATAGAGATCTATATCTCAGGGATACAACTTTATTCTTTTAAAATATGGAATACTGTTAAGAATATTTCTATGTTGTATGAACAGGGAATTCAAACAAACTTTTAAAAATGAAAAATGAGAACCTTCCTGAATGAGGTTTAATCAAATCTCCTATTAAATCCTAGGAATAGGCTGCTAGCTTTCAGGAAATGAAAAATGGCTCAGAAGCTAAATAAGCTAAGCCAATCTCTCAATTGTTTCAGTTTCTCAGGAATTGCTGTACAATGCTGTCAATAATGATCTCCAGGGATCTGACCCCCATTCTGCCTCCCACTGCCTCCTATGAAGCTCCAGATGCCACCAAAAGAAGGAGCTTTGAAGAAATTGCCTGTACCCTCTTTTTACCCTGAGGTGGGTGAGGCCAGGCAGGGTGATTCTTAGGATATCCTGATGATCAAAGGAATTGTTGAAGCATTCATCAAGACTTTCTGGAAGATGACCAAGAAATTCAGGAAACATTACCAAATAGCCTGAGAACTTAAGTTGGAGCTCAAGAATGGATGGCACAAGTGCCACCTAAAATAAAATGCATGATGATATACACAATGATTAATAAGCTCCTTGGGGGCAGAGACTATTACTCTTTGTATATTTCTTCCCCCAGCTTCACAATATCTAGCATAGTACCAGGTATATAAACAATACTCACTTAATAAATGTTATTTTATGACTGAGAGAAATCACTTTATAGAAAGTATTCTCAGGGCCAGACAAAGTGGCTCACACCTGTAATGCCAACACGTTGGGAGGCTGAGGCAGGCGTATCACTTGAGATAAGGGGTTCAAGACCAGTCTGGCCAACATGGTGGAACCCCCATCTGTACTAAAAATACAAAAATTAGCTGTGCATAGTGGCCCATGCCTCTAATCCCAGCTACTAAGGAGGCTGGGGCGGGAAAATCACATGAACCCAGAAGGCAGAGGTAGTATGCTGAGATTGCACTACTGTACTTCAGCCTTGGGGACCCAGAGAAAGTCCATCTCCCACCACAAAAAAAACATGCTCTCAAATCCCTTCTTTTCTTAGTACTTAATCCATGATCAGGAATGGTGATAAAGAGAGTTGACTATTACCTCAAGCTTCTTGGCCACTGTTGTCTTCTGTCTTGGGTAGGAAATATGTATTTGTCCAGTGTATGAAGTTTGCAGTATTAATACTTAAAGTTACGTCTTCACTGTTGCCTGGACTTTTATTTCTTAAGATGTTTCATTGTGATATTCAATTATTTAGTGGAATTCTCTGATCTGAACCACACTCGGGGATTTATTATACTGTCAGATTTAAAAATCCCTCTTGTATCTGTTTTTAGGATTCCATAGTAAAGAGTGTTGCTTCTTGAATAGGTCTATATCAATCATCACTGTGTTTCAGAAGTAGGATGTACTATCATTAATTTCCTAAAAAAATCTAACCTGTTACTCTTGAATGGCAGCATATAGTCTTACATCTTACCTGAGCAGAGCTTCCCATAGCCTACTAGAAGACTATTTACAGTAATGTGATTTAAGATACCATTTAATTAGAGCAAGGCTCATGGTCTACTATTTCTCTTAGAGAAAATGAAACAGCAAACTTGGTTCCATTCAGTTCTTCTGACCTTAAGTTGTCCTTCAGTGAATTAATCACATCTTCTTTTAGTAGTTAACTTTCCTTTAGGGGTAGATCTTTAAAATCTTCAACTTTTTGACTTCTTGTACCTTTTGTGGCTCCAGTTACACGTAAGTTTTTTTATTTGTAATTTTTTCCTATAAGTGAGCATAAGAGTACTACTAGTTTTTCACAAATATGAGGTAGACATTCATTACCTACTCTTACTAGCTGGCATTTTAGATTATAAGGAATCCAGTGGGACGGAAAAAAAAGAAAAGAAAAAAGGAATCCATTCTTCACAAGCCAACAGGAAGAAGAAAGTAAAAGGAATTCGATATAAAAATAATAATCAGGTTATTTATTCAGGAAAATAATCTTATATGAACAACATCTCTTTTGAGCAGGAAATGTATTAAATTATGCTGTATAGATTTGGGGTTTTGCTAAAACCATGAAACTTTTTGAAAGGACATTGAGTTTCTTTGTCTTCATGAGCTTTATATAGCAAGGGATCCTTAAGTGTATAGCTTTTCTTTAAAAGAGACTTAACTCTGTTTTCTGTTTCATGGATTAAATTACCAGTTCTAGAATTTGCTAAGGGAAGATAAACATAGAATGTGAAAATTATTTCCGCGAATTGGTTAGGATGTGTGGGTTTAAGGTTTGAGCCTTTACTTTCTTTTTGAGACAGTGTCTTGCTCTGTTGCCTAGGCTAGAGTGCAATGGCATGATCTCTGCTCACTGCAACCTCTGCCTCCCAGGTTCAAGTGATTCTTCCACCTCAGCCTCCTGAGTAGCTGGGATTGCAAGCACCCACCATCATGCCTGGCTAACTTTTGTATTTTTGTAGAGATGGGGTTTCATCATGTTTGCCAGGCTGGTCCTGAAATCCTGACCTCAGGTGATCCACCCACCTCGGCTTCCCAAAGTGCTGGGATTACAGGCATGAGCCACTGCACCCAGCCTGATCCTTTACTTTTAATCTCTGATTCTCTTGAATGACATGGTCAAGTTGGACCTGCTTTTCTGACATCAACTTTTTAAAATAAATTGCATTGTAAATTTTGTCAGTTTATATGATGAATTTTAATCAGTAATCCAGAATAGATTTGGTTAAAATATTGTTAGTAATTTTTATCAATATTTAAATAATGTTTTATGCTAGTAACATGTGAAAACTAAATCATATATTGTTTATTCTCTCATTAAAACTATTTTTTTTGGCCGGACGCGGTGGCTCATACCTGTTATCCCAGCACTTTAGGAGGCCGAGAAGGGCGAATCATGAGGTCAAGAGATCGAGACCATCCTGGCCAACATGGTGAAACCTCATCTCTATTATTTAAAAAAAAAAAAAAAAAATTATTTTTTTTAAGTAAAAACTATTTTTTTCTCTGATAATATAACAGGATAAATTATATATATAGACCTGTGAGGCCAGGCACAGTGGCTCATGCCTGTAATCTCAGCACTTGGGGAGGCTGAGGCAGGCAGATCACGAGGTCAGGAGTCAAGACCATCCTGCCCAACATGGTGATACCCCATCTCTACTAAAATACAAAAAATTATCCGGGCATGGTGGTGTGAGCTTCTAGTCCCAGCTACTCCCAGCTACTCAGGAGACTGAGGCAGGAGAATTGCTTGAACCTGTAAGGCGGAGGTTGCAATGAGCTGAGATCATGCTCCAGCCTGGCGACAGAGCAAGACTGTCTCAAAGAAAAAAAAAAACCTGTGAAATTGTGACAACAGCATATAGTGTGGTTTGTCCTCTGCTTATTTTCCTCCTATGTTAGCGTACAAGTCATATTATTACAGGGGATAACAGTGGCAGCAACTAAACTGTAACAAGTTCTAACAAAGGATGGTTTGGCATTATTTTTAGAACTGAAT